CAGCATGCATAAAGTCTCTCACCCCTCAGTTGGTTTTGGGGGAGGGGTAGTGCATCCGGTGGGGAGGATTAACCTACCCATCTGGCTAGGAGAAAAGGGAGAGGGACGGCACATGGTCGTCAAGTTCTTGGTGGTCGAGGAATTGACCGCCTATAATCTGATTTTGGGCCGTCCAACCCTCAACAAGTCCAAGACAGTCATCATCCAATCCCTCATGCTGATCAAATTTGAGAGGGACGATGGGTTAGTGGGTTCCCTGAATGAGGATCAGAAGACGACAAGGGAGTGCTATCTTTTAGACGTCAAGCGTACTGTGGCTGAAGCTGGCCAAGGCGAGGATCCTGTTGACCTTGATGACTTCAAGGAAGCCGTGCCTGCTCCTAAAGCAGCCGACAAAAAGGGAAAGGACCACGTGGTGGCCGTAAAAAAAGAGAAGCAATAGCAATCACTGATCGGAGAACGGTCAGATGATTTCCGTCCCAGCCAGTTTGTGAAAATATTGACATTGTTCTAGATGACAGTCGTCCGAAACGAACCGTTAAAGTGGTGATGGTTGCTTTTGTTAAGTTGGGGGCAGATTTGCACCAGCTGCTGAAAGAATTTAAAGATATTTTTGCCTTTGAAGTGGAAGAGATGCCAGGCATCAGCCCGGATCTTGCTGTCCATAAACTCGCCGTGGATCCAAAAAAGAAGCCGGTGAGGCAAAAGAAAAGGAATCATGGCATAGAAAGATCTCAGGCTGCAATCGTCGAAGTCAAGAAGCTGATGGATGTCGGGTTCATTCGGCAATGCTACTACCCGAATTGGGTAGCAAACGTGGTCCTTGTTAAAAAGCCGAATGGTATCTGGCGTATGTGTGTTGATTACATATATCTAAACAAGGCATGTCCAAAGGATAGCTATCCACTTCCAAAGATCGACAGTCTGGTCGACTCTACAGCCGGTCATGCCTTGATGAGCTTTATGGACGCCTATTTAGGCTTCCATCAGATACCCTTGTGGAAAGAAGATCAAGAGAAGACGACATTCAAGGGTTATTCTGTTATACGGTGATGCCGTTAGGGCTAAAGAATGCGCCTGCTACCCTCCAATGAATGATTAATACAGTCTTCATTAATCAAATTGGGAGGAATGTAGAGGTGTACATTGATGACATGATAGTCAAATCCAAGCTACAGACGGATCACCTCCCTGATATTCGAGAAACCTTCACCACACTCATGCGGCACAAGATCATGCTTAATCCGAAGAAGTGTGTCTTTGGTGTTGAGTTTGGGAATTTTCTCGGATTTTTGATTGATCAAAGGGGGATAGAGGCCAACCCGAAAAAGGTACAGGCGGTAATTGACATGAAGTCACCTCGCACATTCAAGGAAGTTCAAAAACTTACCGGTTGTCTGGCGGCATTGGGGAGATTCCTCAGCCGGTCAGGTGACAAGTGCCTTTACTTCTTCCAGACAATAAAAAAGAAGACTAGATTTGAATGGGGGGAAAATGTTGAGGCGGTATTCCAGAAATTGAAAGAGCACCTCCACTCATTGCCACGGCTAGTTAGCCCTCTAGCAGGAGAGGTTCTCTATATGTATTTGACCGTCTCAGATCGTGCCTTCAGTGCCATTCTCCTAGCCGAGAGAGATAGCATTCAGCCCCCGGTCTATTTCATTAGCCATGTTCTTTGGAATACTGAGCTGCGGTACCCCTTGGTTGAAAAATTTGGCCTTTCTCTTTTCATGGCAATCAAGAAGTTGAAACCATACTTCTTGGCACATCCGGTGATGGTCTACACAGACCAACCCCTCAAGCGGCCAATGACAACCTTGGAGTCATCCGGTAGAATTCTCAAATGGGCTATTAAAATGAAAAGTATGGAAATAACCTTCGAACCTCGAAAGGCAGTGAAGGGTTGATATACACGTTTTATACATATGTTTTTCCCGACTTTTCGCTACATTCTTGTATAGTTTTAGGCTCTTTAGAGCCACTTTCCGCTAACATTCTCTTCTCTAGTGTGTTCGATGCATTTTCATAAGTTTTATAGGAACTTAGAGTTTCCCGGATGATTCGGACACGTTTTGAGCGATATTGGAGATGTTGGTGAACAAGGATGTAAAACTGAGCTGAACAAGAATCGATCCTTGAAGAATAAGAAGCGAAAATTAGATTTTATAACTGTGCCCGATCGGGCTCAGCGTGCCCGGTCAGATCGGGCACATAAGGGAGTGTTGGCTGACACTAATGTTGAAGCAAAGAAGCTATTCTAAGCTCTTCTGCCATGCGTCCGATCGGGCAGGCCTCGCCCGGTTGGACTGGGCGCGTGGAGGTTGGAGGCGTTCAAGATTATGAAGATCAGCAAAGCAGCCAGGGTAGACGTTGTGCCTCGCGCCCGATCGGGTGCTACCTGCCCGGTTGGAACGGGCGCAGAGGAAGTTTAGAGAAGAAAGCAGCGCTGTTGTTTATACCATGTGCCCGATCGGGCATGTCAATCCCGGTCAAACCGGGCACAGTTGTGCGCAACTTCGAATTCTAATTTTATTATTTTTAGGTCATTAAGGGTATAAATACCCAGTGTAATTTTCATTAGTGGATTATTCAGATTTTCCTTAAGTCCTCTTTCTCTCTCTAGAACTTTAGTTTTATTCCTTTTAGCAATTTAACTCTTAGGTTAGATTTGGGTATTGTTGATTAACAATTTGAGTAATTTCAATTGAAGCATCATCGGTATTCATCTCTATTCCTTTCTCTTTCAATTATTTATGCTTTTCAATCATGTTTTCTATAATTATGATTGTTATTACTTTCTTCAATATGTGTGAGTAGATTTCTTATTCCAAGATCTAGGGTAGCCCACTTATGATTGATGCATGAATTAATTCCTTAAATTCTCTAATAACCATTGTAATTGTCTATGCTAAATTGATTGTGATTATGCCAATGCTATATTTGAGATAATTAGTATTGTTATTATTCCATTGTTTCTATCACAACGAGAGTTGGATTTTAATGGAATTGAGTAAATCGATTTAGGATTTGAAATTCAACATGAGAATAGTTGAACGGATAATTGGGAATTGAAGTAAAGTGTTTAATGTCTCTAATTTGCATGATACCATGAGAATAGGCTTGATTGTGGGTTAGGGAAGCCATTGATACTCGAGAGAGGTCCTTGGTATTTGTTAGGGTTTGCTTTTCCCCGTGTTAATTGGAATTGTATGTTAGGGGTAGATATATAATTGCATCAATCGTAATTGTGGTGATACTTGATCTTGGATGTTTTAGCTTATTGGTTCATTATATTTGTTTGATTTATTCTAGTTTTCCATACATTAGCTCTTAGTTTATTCCACCATTGATTGATTCTTTCTTAGTGATTACTTGAGTCTAGATAATTTAGGTGAGCCTTAGTCTCTTGGGATTCGACCTTTACTTGCCTGACTACATGGTTAGGAGGAATAGTTAGGTTATTTTTGTTAGGTACGCGACACGCCTATCAAATTTTGGCGCCGTTGCCGGGGACTAACGGTTTCATTTGATTATTTGTGATTCGTTTTTGCTAAGCTTTATTCGTTGCTTCGGCTATTTTCTCTTGTGTTTTTGATATTCTTTCTCTAGTTTTCTTGTTGCATGCCCACACGACGCTCAGGGTCAGAAGATCTTGAACCATTTGACTCTGAGATCGAGGAAACTATAAGGAGAAGGAGAACAAGGAATCGACGTAGGAGAAACATGGAAGATGTTACGAAATCCCTTTTGGAGTACCATATTCCTGATATGACTACCAGACTCCTATCTAGCATTGTCAGGCCACCTGTGACGGCTCAGCACTTCGAGCTTAAGCCCCAATTCATTCAATTTATCTCCAATGATTCATTCGCAGGCCTACCGCATGATTGTCCGGTAAGTCATAGTGATAGTTTTCTGGAGAAATGTGACACAATGAAAATGAATGGTGTAACAGATGATGCTATTAGACTTCGCCTTTTCCCTTTCTCATTGCGGGATAGGGCAAAGGAGTGGTTGAGAGATGAAGGCACTGGCTCGTTCGACACATGGGACAAGCTAGTGAAGGCCTTTTCAGTGAAGTTTCTAGGATAAGAGAAGACTGCTAGGTTGAGGAACGAGCTATCCACCTTCCGACAGTCAGATGACGAGTCTCTCTATGAGGCTTGGAGGAGATTCAAGAGGCTACAGAGACAATGCCCTCATCATGGCATCCTAGAGTGGATGTTAATCCAAACATTCTACAATGGGTTGACTCATGAATTTCGCATATACATAGATGCTGCATCCGGAGGTTCGGTCATGACCAAGAATCCAACGGAAGCCAGGGAACTAATAGAAAAAATGGCGGCCGACGATAACTACCATCCAGGAGGTCGTCAGAATGTGAAAAAAGGAGGTAAACTTGATGTAGATGCTTTGAGTATGTTAACCAGTTCTGTGCAGGCACTAACAAGAAGGTTTGATAAGCTCCAAGCTAGATCTTCTACTAGCCCACAGGAGGTTTGTCAGTTGTGTAATGTGCACAGCCATATTGCACCCGATTACCCACAGAACTCGAGTGAGATGTCAATTGAACAGGAAAATGCTTTCTACTCTTCAAATTCCAAAAAGCCCTATGATCCCTAATCTAATTCTTACAATGAAGGTTGGAAACACCATCCCAACTTCTCCTACAAGAACACCCAAGCACAACAAAATCCACCACCACAATCACCCAACAACTACAACCAACCACCACTCGGTTTCCAACAAAGACAACCTATGAACCAATAACCAGTGCAACCACTCCCCCGAAAATCTAGCCTTGAGTTGATGATGGAGAGTTTCATTACCACAACCAATAATGCCATCCAAAAACAGGGCACTATGCCATCCAACAGTTGCAAACCTAGAGTAAGCTCATGGAAAACCAAATAAGCCAACTTGCTCATCAAGTTTGTCAATCTTTAAAGACTCCAGGGACTTTTCCGGGCTAGACAGGGCAACCTCAAAAAGGCCACATGAATGTTGTTACTTTGAGGAATGGAAAGCAATTGGAAGATCCTCCTATCAAGGAGCCATCAAAGGAGGTCGTTGAAGAAGTAGGTGAAGGTGAGAAGGAGATTCACAATGCTAAGGTCGAGGATGAAGCAAAGGATGAAACTCCAAAGCCACTTGCTCCATATGTGCCTAAAGTTCCTTTTCCTCAAAGGTTAGCCCAAGCTAAACTTCAGAAAAAGTACGGTAAATTTCTTGATATTCTTAAAAAGCTTCATATAAATATTTCGTTTTTAGATGCTATATCCGAAATGCCTTCATATGCTAAATTTTTAAAGGATATTCTTTCTAACAAGAAAAAGTTGGAAGAGAATGCTACAGTTGCTTTGAATGCAGAGTGCAGTGCTATTTTGCAGAACACTCTACCTAAGAAATTAGGTGATCCAGGTAGTTATTCAATTCCAGTGAAGCTTGGAGATATTGAAATCAACAGGGCACTATGCGATCTTGGTGCAAGTGTAAGTCTCATGTCGCTGTCCATCTGTAAGAAGCTACAAATGGGTGAACTCAAACCCACAAGCATATCCTTGCAACTTGCAGATAGGTCAGTCAAATTTCCTTTGGGTGTGCTTGAGGATGTACCTCTTCGTGTAGGTAAATTTTTCATTCCTTGTGATTTTGTTGTGATGGAAATGGAGGAAGATGTGGATGTTCCAATTATACTTGGTAGACCTTTCTTAGCTACTGCGGGTGCAATCATTGACATGAAGAAGGGTAAGATTACTTTTGAAGTAGGTGATGAAAAATTGGAATACTCACTTTTGAATGTTATGGGTACTCCCTCTATGGGAGACACTGTTTGTCAGGTTGATGTACTTGACGAGTTGCAGAGTGAGCAGCTTCCTTTGAGCAAACCAGATGACGCACTTGAACAAGTGCTAGTAGGAAAGGATGATGGTGATGGAGATTGGGAAGCAAGAGAATATGCCAGGCTACTTGAAGAAGCAAAGGCCAACCCAATCGCTAATCCAATCAGAGAAACACTTAGTGCAGTGAGTATTGGGGAGAGTACTAAGCCTCCCGAGGTAGAGTTGAAACCTGTCCCTTCTAATTTAAAATATGCATATCTTGGTCCTAATAATTCATACCCTGTTATTGTTAATGCTGAACTCAAGGACACAGAATTGGAGCAATTGCTCAATGTTCTAAGAACATATAAAAGTGTAATTGGGTACACCATTGATGATATTAAGGGTATTAACCCTTCTTTTTGTATGCATAAAATTATTCTTGAAAATGATCATGCCTCTTCTGTAGAACCTCAAAGAAGACTTAATCCAAATATGGTGGAGGTAGTGAAAAAAGAGGTTCTAAAATTGCTTGCTGCAGGAATAATCTACCCTATCTCTGATAGTAAGTGGGTTAGCCCTGTACAAGTAGTACCAAAGAAGGGAGGTATGACCGTTGTCAAGAATGAAAAGGGTGAGCCTGTGGCTACTAGGACTGTTATAGGGTGGCGAATGTGTATAGATTATAGGAAATTAAATAAGGCCACCCTTAAGGATCATTTCGCCTTACTCTTTATTGATCAAATGCTTGAAAGGTTGGCAAAGCATTCCTTTTTCTGTTACTTGGATGGATATTCTGGTTTCTTCCAAATCCCCATCCGTCCTTGTGACCAGGAAAAGACTACTTTCACATGTCCATATGGCACTTTTGCATATCGCAGGATGCCATTTGGATTATGTAATGCCCCTGCCACTTTTCAAAGATGTATGATGGCAATTTTCTTAGGACTCATAGAAAATTCTATGGAAGTATTTATGGATGATTTCTCTGTCTATGGAACATCTTTTGATGTATGCCTTGAAAGTTTGAAAAAAGTGCTCCAAAGATGTAAAGAAGTCAATCTGATTCTAAACTGGGAAAAATGCCATTTTATGGTGCAACAGGGAATTGTTTTAGGTCATGTTGTATCAAACTAGGGTATTGAAGTTGATAAGGCTAAGATAGAGTTCATAGAGCGTTTACCCCCTCCGAACTCTGTTAAAGGAGTTCGAAGTTTCCTTGGTCATGCAGGTTTTTACCGTCGTTTTATTAAGGATTTTTTGAAAATCGTTCGACCTCTAACTGAGCTCTTAGCTAAGGATGTTCCTTTTGTTTTCTCTGATGCTTGTCTTGAGGCTTTCAACAGGTTGAAGGAAGCTTTGATCACTGCTCCTGTCAAGCTACCCCCTAGATTGGAGCCTGCCGTTCGAAATAATGTGTGATGCTAGTGACTATGCAGTAGGAGCCGTCTTGGGGCAAAGGAAGGAGAAAAAGCTTCATGCCGTTTATTATGCTAGCAAAACTCTTAGTTCTGCTCAAATGAATTATGCCACAACTGAAAAAGAGATGCTAGCTTTAATATATGCAATTGACAAATTTCATTCTTACTTGGTTGGCTCTAAGGTTATTATTCATACAGATCATGCAGCATTGAGGTACTTGACGACCAAAACCCATGAAAAGCCTAGGTTGATTCGATGGATTCTTCAACTATAGGATCATGACATAGAGATCAAGGATACAAAAGGGACGGAGAATGTTGTTGCAGATCATCTCTCCCGTCTTCTCCTTGACCCTGAGGATGGGGACGATACTCCTTTCGATGATTCTTTCCCTGTAGAGCATTTACTAGCTTTATTGCAAACTGAATCACCTTGGTATGCTGACTTGGCTAATTTCCTCTTTACAGGTACAATGCCTCATGGCTACTCCTCTCAACAAAGGAAGAAATTCCTTTCTGAAGCAAGGAGATATTTCTGGGATGATCCGTTCCTGTACAAACAATGCGCAGATTCTATGATTCGAAGATGTATTCTAGAAATTGAGGTAAATTATATAATTTCTCGTTGCCATGACTTACCCTGTGGTGGACATGCAGGCCCTTCGAAGACAATTGCAAAAATCTTGCAATGTGGATTTTATTGGCCTACAATGTTCAAGGATACATACGCCTATGTCAAGGCCTGTGATAGATGTCAACGGACTGGTACAATATCCAAGAGGAACGAGATGCCACTCAACAACATACTCGAGGTCAAGTTGTTTGACGTGTGGGGGATAGACTTCATGGGACCATTCCCTGCCTCCTATGGAAACCGATATATTCTAGTGGCCGTTGACTACGTCTCAAAATGGGTTGAAGCAATTTCTACTCCAACTAATGATGCTCGTGTGGTAAGTAAGTTTTTCAAGAAAGTCATTTTCCCTCATTTTGGTGTACCACGTGTGTTGATTAGTGAAAGGGGAACACACTTCCTGGAGCATCGATTTGAAGCAATGTTGAAAAAATATGGGGTGCAACATAGGCTTGGAATTGGCTATCACCCTCAAACAAGTGGCCAAGTCGAGGTATCCAACCGAGAGATCAAGTCCATTATAGAGAAAATAGTTGCCAGAACAAGGAAAGATTGGTCCGTGAAGTTAGATGATGCATTATGGGCGTACTGAACGGCTTTCAAAACGCCAATTGGAACAACCCCATATAGACTTGTCTACGGGAAAGCATGCCACCTGCCCGTTGAGCTAGAACATCGAGCATTTTGGGCCATCAAAAGCTTGAATTTCGATGCCAAGGCAGCGGGAGAAAATAGACTGTTACAACTCAATGAACTAGATGAGCTTCGTCTCGAAGCTTATGAAAGTTCAAAGCTATATAAAGAGAAAAAAAAAGGTGGCATGACAAAAACCTTGTGAGGAGAGAGTTCAAGGAAGGAGATTAAGTCCTTCTTTTCAATTCTAGGTTCAGATTATTTCCAGGAAAGCTTCGGTCTAGGTGGTCGGGTCCATTCAAGATCAAGAAGGTGTATCCCTATGGCACTGCAGAGTTAGAAAATGCAAGAGGAGAGCCCTTCAAGGTCAATGGGAAAAGAGTAAAGCATTACCGAGTTGGTGACCCCATCGACGAAGGAGTGGACATCACACTCTCTTCCCCATCACCGATCCAATGAGTATCATCATGGTCAAGCTAAAGATTTTAAAAACAAGCGCTTTCGGGAGGCAACCCGCTTTTTCGTATAATTTCTCTTAATTTTTTTTTTATCTCTTTGAGTGTTTTTATGAAGTTATGCGTTGCGTCTCTTATTTTTCAGGGAACATCAGCATATAGGAGGAGCGAGACGCTAAGATAGTTCATCATAAGTTGAAAACAAAGCATTTTGCTCGATGCTCGATCAAACCGGGCAAGGCCAGCCTAATGGGGCGCGAGCAACAACGTTGAAAGAAGCAAGTGAAGATTGGAAATCCTCTCCGCCCGATCAGACCGGGTAGCACCTGCCCGATCGGGCGCGAGAGGAACTTGGAGGAAGAAGCTGCATTTTTTTTTGGCTAAGTACTTTCACCCCTTATGCCCGATCAGACCGAGCAGCTATCGCCTGATCGGGCACAGGTGGTTGAAAATTCCAGAATTCTAAAAAAAAAAATTAAAAAAATGAGAGAACAATATGCTGCCCGATTAGACCGGGCCTTACTAGCCCGATCGGGTGCGAATAGCAGCAGGTACGTAGCGTACAGGGCAGGAAACAAGCTGACTTTACTTTCCTCCGCCCGATCAGACCGGGCAGCATCCGCCCGATCGGGCGCGTAAAAAAAAATGCGAATTTCATGCCTTCTAAACCCGATTTTGCTCTTCCCTTCCTCATTTCTTCTTTCACCTTGAATCATCTTCTACTCTTTCTCTCTCTAAAAACCCCTCAATTCTCAAACCCTAACTCCTCCAATCCACATAAATCTCCATAAATCCTTACTCAAAACTAAAAATCTCTTCATCTTTCATCCTCCTTGTTCACTTTCTAGCTTCCACAACCATTTTCTCACCCAAAATTACCTTCTCACAAAAACCCCATTCTCAAACCCTAGAGAGAGAAACTTTCAATCATCATCCATGGCTTCATTCTTCACAAGGAAAAGGACTAGAGGAGCACAAGCACAACCACAATTGGACTTGGAGAGCATACCAGCGTACCTGAACATCCAATTTGTTCTCGAGTTCCCGAACCAAAAGACGAGGTTGCTTGAGCTTCAACATCGAAATGTAATTCCTACTCGGTTCATAGACCGAGCTCTTCTTGCTAGGTTAGGTATTGATAATGAATGTTGTACTTTATTCTCTAGACTTGGCATGACACAATTATTTAACATGATTCATTACACTTTCGAAGACATAACTCTTGAATTCCTTAGTTCTTTTGATGTAGTAAAGGGTAGAGACGGTTTGGTAACACATGTTGTATATAGATTGATGAATAGATCACACCGCCTTACCCTAGATGGTTTTGGTAGGAATTTTGGCCTCCCCTCAACGGGTTTGATTGTACAACCCGATAGTTTCACCTCGGGGGAGTTGTGGTTGGCTATTACGGGAGAGAATATAGACTCAATGCAACACGCTCGTGCCCATAAAATCCATCAACCGGCCCTTAGGATGTGGACTAGGTCATCGGGGTGGACTATTTTTGGTAGAATTGAGCCTAATAACGTTCGGGCGGATGAGATTGCCATCCTAGGTAGTTACCTTAGGTTGGGAGATGAGGGAGAGGGGTTTAGGATGAATATAGCTCACTTATTTGCCCTCCATCTTAGGAAACAAGGGGCGACCTTCACCACCCTCAAACCAAATGGTTCCCGAACCGACATCCCGATTGTCTTAGGTGGCTTAGTTACCCACCTAGCGGTTAAGGAGGGCTTCGTAGAAGCCCAAAACCGACCTGTGCCAGGCCCCATCACCTTGGACCAGCACTACCTCACCACCACCGGCTGGTTGTCGGTGGAATACGGTAGTTATAGCTGGCTTAGGTGGATCATCGATGTGAGATACTCTAGTCATCGATTCTTGAAATATACATGGTTGGTCTCGTGTGACGATTGATTAGGTGGATCGACGGTTTGAGTAATTAGATTGGTTTGCTAGGATGTATGCTTGTTTGATTTTCGATATTGAGTCGTGTGCTATATTCGCATTATGGGGTGAAGTATGTTGTTTGGTTGTTGATTATTGTTGATTGCCTTGCTTGAGGACAAGCAAGAGTTTAGCTTAGGGGAATTCGATATACACGTTTTATACATATGTTTTTCCCGACTTTTCACTACAATCTTGTATAGTTTTAGGCTCTTTAAAGCCACTTTCCGCTAACATTCTCTTCTCTAGTGTGTTCGGTGCATTTTCATAAGTTTTATAGGAACTTGGAGTTTCCCGGATGATTCGGACACGTTTTGAGCGATATTAGAGATGTTGGTGAACAAGGATGTAAAACCAAGCTGAACAAGAATCGATCCTTGAAGAACAAGAAGCGAAAAGTAGATTTTATAATTGTGCCCGATCGGGCTCAGCATGCCCAGTCAGATCGGGCACAGAAGGGAGTGTTGGCTGACACTAATGTTGAAGCAAAGAAGCTATACTAAGCTCTTATGCCACGCGCCTGATCAGGCAGGCCTCGCCCGGTTGGATCGGGCGCGTGGAGGCTGGAGGCGTTCAAGATTATGAAGATCATCAAGGCAGCCAGGGTAGACGTTGTGCCTCGCGCCCGATCGGGTGCTACCTGCTTGGTCGTATCGGGCGCAGAGGAAGTTCAGAGAAGAAAGCAGCGCTGTTGTTTATACCATGTGCCCGATCTGGCATGTCAATCCCAATCAAACCGGGCACAGTTGTGCACAACTCCGAATTCTAATTTTATTATTTTTAGGTCATTAAGGGTATAAATACCCAGTGTAATTTTCATTAGTGGATTATTCAGATTTTCCTTTAGTCCTCTTTCTCTCTCTAAAACTTTAGTTTTATTCCTTTTAGCAATTTAACTCTTAGGTTAGATTTGGGTATTGTTGATTAACAATTTGAGTAATTTCAATTGAAGCATCATTGGTATTCATCTCTATTCATTTCTCTTTCAATTATTTATGCTTTTCAATCATGTTTTCTATAATTATGATTGTTATTACTTTCTTCAATATGTGTGAGTAGATTTCTTATTCCAAGATCTAGGGTAGCCCAATTATGATTGATGTATGAATTAATTCTTTAAATTCTCTAATAACCATTGTAATTGTCTATGCTAAATTGATTGTGATTATGCCAATGCTATATTAGAGATAATTAGTATTGTTATTATTCCATTGTTTATATCACAACGAGAGTTGGATTTTAACGGAATTGAGTAAATCGATTTAGGATTTGAAATTCAACATGAGAATAGTTGAACGGATAATTGGGAATTGGAGTAAAGTGTTTAAT